TGTGAGGAGGGTAGTCATTGCAATTTATAGTTGAGTCCTTGAGCCATATTCGGGGATTTTTTAGGAATATTTTTGAATTTTTTGTAGTGTATTTTTATCAATGTCTTTCAAGGACGATTCATGAAAATCAACAAAAAATGTTTTTAAAAATTTCAAAATTCTCCTTAAAAAATCTGCTACAATTACAAAGGTAATATCGATTATAATTTTTATATTGGGTGTCCCTTCATTGCCAAATTTATACTTTGTAGTCCTTCCCTGGCTATGGCCGTACAACTGTCAAGAAATTTACATAAATTTCCTGCCACACATTTTGTCATTTTTGCGCCTCTTTCATAGAAGAATACAGGGTGAGATAAAAAAATGCAACAAAGTCAAACGCCATAATTTTTACATTTTTTAAAAATTTTTATTGAATGAAAGAAAAAATGTGGGAAATAGCATCAAACTTTAAGTTGGGATTTATTCGAATTGGTCACCTTTGGAACGAATTGTGGCCTTCAAACGGCCAATGAAACCGGTTGCTTGAGGTGATCGACACTTTGGTATTTTTTAGTGCCAACCTTGCTTTCCAAAATACTCCAGACACAATAGTGCGTGCCCAAGGCTTTAATCCAGAATATTTTCGGGATTATATTCGGCATCGGCCCACACCATCACCATGGCCGGCGCTTGAGTTCTGGTGGCCAACCGAAGGTGAACATTTTCAGCTGACCTCTTTTTCTGGACAACGAATGTTTTCTAATCGGAGAAACCCAAATTCGGCAGTTCACCAATTTCGGCCAAGCGAAGCAACCTTTAGCTCTTTTGAGTCTATTTTCTTTCTGTTGCGGTCTAAGTTCTTGCACTTTTTGAAATTGCACTGGCTTTACCCTGACCTCATTTTTCAATTTTTGCCGAGTGGAATATTGCGATATGTTCAGCTCACGAGCCATTTTTCGGCTACTGCGACGGGTTTCGATCAAGTTGCTTCTTTATTTTTCGAACCATTTCTGCTGATGTTGTTTCCGTCACGGTAACGAGCGATGGTACGGAACACAAAAGATTTATTTACATTTAAATGCTGGAGTGCTCTAACATAGCCACTTGTGGTTTTCCAGCAAAATATAAAGAAATCACTCTATCACGCTCGAATTCCATCACGAATAACTTTTTTTCTAGGAAATTTTGACCAAAATGCTTTTGTACGCTTGTGAACAACATCATGAGCTGTCACTGGAATAATTTTAACAGCTGTCGGACGAGTGGCATAGAAATGACAGAAGTCTGAAATTGCTTTTTCATGTTTTTTCATGTCAACCACTTTGTAAGTGGTTTCGAAATGCGTACTATAATAGTACGAAAAGTACCTAATTGTACCAAAAAATACCCTGTTGGTAACTTGCTGGAGGGTAATTTTTTTTTTCAAAATAATTCTATAATAATAAATAATTTTCAAAATAATTCTATAATAATTCTCGTTTTTTATCATTAGTTTTGGCCGAATTCCAAAGAATTGGAACACGAAAACTTCCGAAAATAATCAAGAAGGTGATTATTTTGCGTTGTAAATTTTCAAAACGACCATACGCGTGTCTTCTATTTTTAGCTCTATTTTCATAATATGCTGGATATTTTCTGTTATTATTGAAAATTTGAATTTTTTCGCACAGTGTGACAATTAAAAATCCTTGAATGGTATTTGAAAAATATTCTCGCAAAAATCACAAATACGGCTTTGATTGTCCTTGAAAAATAAATAAAAAATCCACAAATATTGTCCTTGCTGGTGCCATTACACTTAAATAATGCCCTGTCTGCCACTGAGGAGGGGAAAATGTTTTAACATTTATAAACCCCCAAATATTGCAGTCACGTAGTACTGAGCCATAAAAATATAACTGTCATTAGGAAGCCGAATGCAATTTGTGTTATCAAAACAAGTACAAAATAAATGTACCCAAAGTGGTTTAGTACGAAGTCTAAAAGGTTATTCTGCAATAACATTTTTTGTTAAAATAAAAATCCTATATTTGGGTGTGACACGCCATCACAATTTCCACCGAATCACAACAGTCTGATTAAAGATTATCCTCGGCTGAATTGTATTTTTCTGAATTAAAAAACAACAACAACAACAACAACACACACACACACACACACACACTGACACAATACTGAGAAAGAGAAAAAAACTGACAGCCAAACAAGAATGGAGGACAAGGATAAATTGCCTAAAGTTATGCAGGACAGTGGAAAACAATGGCCAAAGTTGAGGACGAGTTTCAACGTCAAAAGTGCCAAACAATGTAACAAACAACAACGGCACACAGGCTCAGATAAATACATTGTCATAGTCAACAATGTGTGTGTGTGAGTGTGCGTCCTCATGCAGGTGTTATTTCATTGAAAATTTTCATAATACGCTTTGCGCGAGTATGTGTGTGGGTTTTGTACGAATATGTGATTTGTACTCCAACCCCAAATTACCTTTTGTTGAATTTTCGAAGAAAAAAACCTAAATTTTCATTGTTGCCGTTGTCGAAGTACCTGTATTTTGTAGTTTGCGAAGTAAAAGTTCAAGGTTAACTTTGGAACTTTGTTTTTAAATACTCAAAAATGTTTTGTTATCTGCAGGTTGCTGAGTATGTTTGTTTGTTTGAGAGTATGTGGCTTTTATTATAGCTCCAATATTTGCTAGTCGTATGAATTTAGAGTTATATTTACCTTGGGATTAGCTTTTATTTGCCCATAAAAACAACTGGTTGATGTTTGTTATGTAAACAAGAATATTTCGCGTAGTATTATTTATTATATCATGTAAAAAGGGCTATAAATGTATTTACAGGCTATGTAAATATGTATATTACACAAAAGTTTCTGTCCATAAACTAATAAAAGCAAGTTAACAACCAGTAAGTTCGGCCGGGCCGAACTTTTAATACCCTCCATCATTTGCAACGAATTTAGAAATTTTCAAAAAATAAAATCCTTAAAAAATTCTGTTAAAATTTTAAAAATACCGAATATAGCCGTTATATTGGGGTCTATACGAGGTGGACCTACATAGGCATTGTTTGTCATAAGCCATTAGCATATTCAAATTCGAAACTTGAAATAAACGGTGAATAATGTAGCTAAAATCATCAAAATATCGTATATAGGGAGGTGCCGTTAAATTGGAGCTGTGCGAAGACCTGGACCAGCATAGACAATTTTCTGTCACAGGCTGTAGCATCCATTACGAACTTTAAATACCACATCTCAAACAATTTCGGTGGGTATTGTACCTAAAATCGTCAAAATACCGAATATAGGGAGGTACTGATATATGGGGCATATACGAAGACCTGGACCCGCACATACAATTTTCTGTCACAGACTTTAGTTCCCATAACGAACTTCAAATACCAATTTTGAAACAATTCCGTTGAATAATGTCGCTAAAATCATCAAAATACTGAATATATGGAGGTACCGTTATATAGGGGCTATACGAAGACGTGGATCTGCACAGACAATTTTCTGTCTTAGGGTGTAGTATACATTTTGAACTTCAAGTACCAAATTTGAAACAATTCTGGTGAATAATGTCACTAAAATCATCAAAATACCGAATATCGGGAGGTACCGTTATATGGGGGCTATACGAAGACGTGGACCTGCACAGACAATTTTCTGTCTTAGGGTGTAGTATCCATTTTGAAATTCAAGTACCAAATTTGAAACAATTCCCGTGAATAATGTCGTTAAAATCATCAAAATACCAAATATCGGGAGGTACCGTTATATGGGGGCTATACGAAGACATGGACTTGCACAGACAATTTTCTATCTTAGGGTGTAGTGTCCATTTGGAACTTCAAATACCAAATTTTAAACTATTCCGGTGAATAATGTCGCTGAAATCATCAAAATACCGAATATAGGGAGGTACCGTTATATGGGGGCTATATGAAAACGTGGACCTACATGGCCCATTTACGAACTTAACCTGCCTACTGAAAAAATAAATCTTTAGGCGAGCTGTTGCTCTGCTGGTCTATTTAGACGAGCTGTTGTCCAGCTGGTCTCTATAGACGAGCTGGCCTCCAGCTCTTCTATAGAGACCAGCTGGCCTCCAGCTCATCTATAGAGACCAGCTGGTCTATTTAGACGAGCTGGTGCCCAGCTGATATCTTTAGATGAGTTGGTATCTGTAGACGAGCTGGTGCCCAGCTGGTCTGGTTAGACGAGCTGGTTCCGAGCAGGTCTATTTAGACGAGCTCGTCCCAATAGTTCAGCTCGTCTATGTGTAGACCAGCTCTGGTGTAGACCAGATCTGGTGCCCAGCTGGTCTATTTGGACGAGGTGGAGGGCAGCTGGTCTTGTTCTTGACGAGCTTGTTCTTGTCTCTCAAACCATCCTTAATCTATATATCAAATCTGAGAATTGTATCTCTACCCCTTCAGCCAATACCGAATACAGTACTATTCACTTCTTTTTGCACAATTATAGTACACATTTCCGAAACCACCTCCATATGTTCAGATTACACAATAATTGTACCAAATAGATTACTATTATGTACTTTTCGCGCACTTGCAGTATAAACCGCCTTCATCCAACCTTCAACTTATATTCCAACCTCTATCCTTTCACATAATACAAAATGGGAGCATTTTAGAATTTTAGTACCGTTTCGTAGTTTTCCGTAACCTTAAAGTTCGAATTTCCGAAAACCCTTTGGTAAACCTATGCTGTACTTTATCAGAGAATTTCTCATTTGGTTGTCCGATACAAAGCATTTAGTGTTTAGTACATTTTAGTACTTTTCGTACACATAGAGACCAACTTTTCGTACACACGCACCAAGATTGACCCTCGTGCAAAATTTCAAGATTCTAGCTTCAGTCGTTTATTCTTCAGGCGTTAATTTTCGTTCAAACAGTCAGTTATCTATATCTATAAATCACTATATATATAGACATTTTTTTCAAAAAAATTAAAAATTAATTTATTTATTTTCCTCCTCTTTTCAGCAAAAACAACAACAACAACAACAAAATGTCTTTGTTAACCAGCAACAGTCACTCAATGTCGGAGGAAGAGATTGATGAGTAAGTACAAAAGGCCAGTTTTTTATCTTTCTTTTCAAAATACCCTTTTTAACAATTCAAAGGATAAGAACCATTTTTTTGTATTCAGTGGAATTAATCGACTTTAAAATATCTTTTAATCTAACTCAAAAAAGAAGAAATAAAACACATTTCGATATTTATGGCCTTATTGAAATCCTTTTCAAAAAGTTTTAACTTTTCTTAGAAAAAGTGGAGAAAAAAAAACTTGCACTGTAAACAGAAACCTTTTATGGTTCGAATGAAGACAGACGATAAAAGAAAAAAAAACTTTTGAGGAAAAAGTTTAAAGATGCCATAAAATATAAAAAACGTTGTGGCTTAAAAGCAAGCTAAGGGTTATCAGCAAATTTATTGAAATGCGAAATTAATAATTTAACAGGTACGAGTTGAAAGAAGTTTCGAATAAATCCAGGAGATTTACATAAGATAGAAATGTACGTAAGCGTAAAAGAATGCCTTTGAAAGGCAATTTAGTAAAAAAAAGGCAGCGAAAATTTTTCATTATTAAAAATTACTCAAGATTTTGAACAAGGAGAATCAGAAAAAAGTTATTTTAGGATTATGGATTCTGACTATATATATCACAAATTATACCAGTTTTGTCATTTCTAAGTAGTATTGTTGAGTGTGACGATTAGAAAATTCTAAGTGTAGGTATTAATCGGTTCAAAAGTCGATTTCTCAGACCAATATTTCATTTATGGTCTACGTTCCCAACCAATATTCTCTTGGAGGTAACAAATCCAATACAATCTAAAATTCAAAGCCCGTTGCAATACAAATTTCAAACCCCCAGACAATATTGTTGGGGAACGTGGTCATGAGAGGTACGGCTATATGGGATTTATATCATAAAATACAAAAACTAGACCTGAGAATTTAAAACCCACTTGGATGTTTGCTATTCTGAACTAATGTCATGATCTGCATTTGGAATTTTCCACAAGAGAATATTGGTTATGGAACGTGGACTTGAGGGTACCGTTATGTGGAAAGGAAACCAAAATATATACCCATTTTGACATTTTTCTGTAAGATGGTTCTTTACCTCCAAAGTAGCTTAAAATCAATTGTTTAACCAAATCGATTGAAAATCGGAGAAAAAGATCGTCGAAACCTGTAAAATCAGGAGGTACCTTATATTCCGAAACATTGATATATATTGAGAATTTTCTGTGACGAGGGCTTCTATCCCCTCAAAAAACAAAGATACCAAATAAGGTTTAAATAATATTAAAAATGTTGCCAAGAGCCCGGAAATATCTCACACAGGAGATATCTTCATATGAGGGTTATACCAAAACGTGGGCCTATATTGATAATATTGGGCAAGGATGTTATGTGGGGACTATACCAAAATATATACCTATCTTGACATTTTTCTATAAATGGTTATCTACCTCCAAAGTAGCCTAAATTCAATGTAGCCTAGACTCAATTAGGTGCCGAATTCCATCCCATTTGTGAAAATATTAGACGTTTGGTGTACAATTAAAGGTAAATCGGACGAAGTTATATATGGGAGATATATTCAAATCCGAATCGACCTCGATAAAATTTGGCAAGGACATTTCTGAGCTGCATTTGATATATTTCCCTGAATATCGTTGTTACAGAGGGCATATTACGGCTGTGGGTAACAAATACAACAAATCGGATGAACAATATATATGGGAGCTATAGCTATATCTGAACCGATCTTCACCAAATTTGGCATACTACCTTCTAGACTTAATTCGGTCGTATTTGCCAAATCCCATCCCATTTGACGTTTGGTGCACAATAAAATGTAAATCGTACGAAGTTATGTATGGGAGATATATCCAAATACAAACCAATCTGGATAAAATTTAGCAAAGGTATTTCTGAGCTGTATTTTCTATATTTCCCCAAATATTGTTGTTACAGAGTGCATTTTACGGCTGCGGAGGACAAAAACAACAAATCGGATGAACAATATATATATGGGAGCTATAGCTATATCTGAACCGATTTAGATCAAATTTGGCATACTTATTTTCAGGCCTAATTTGGTTGTATGTGCAAAATTCCATACTATTCGGGCTGATATTACACGTTTGGTGCACAATAAAATGCAAATCGGACGAAGATATATATGGGAGCTATATCTAATTTTTTACCGATTATCTCCAAATTCAATAGGGTTCGACCCTGGGCCAAGTTTGGATATAGCTCCCATATATATCTTTATCTGATTTCAAATTAATTTTGCACCAAATGGGCAATACAGGTCCGAATTTAAAAGATACAAATGCTTCGGCATATTTAGTCCTTTGAATTTAAAATTATAATTATAATCATAGGGCGTATGATTGAATTCTCCCATAAAAACTTTTAATTGTTATGTGGAGCTCAACTAAACTGGCAAAGTGGTGTAGGGTATCATAAAATCGGCCCCACCCTACTTTAGGACTTTCTTTACTGGTTTTTTGTTGGGACCAATTTTATGTTTTTGTTTAAAAAATATTCCTCACAAAATTGTGTCGCAGATTACCTTTTAAGGTTCTTGAAATGTGAGTGAGCTGTTTAGGCCAGTGTTGTCAAAAATATAATATTTAAAGAAATTAGTAATAATAACAGTGGCCCATACACTTACCAAATTTGTTCTGGTTATATGAAGTCTATACAAATTATGGAACTATAATGAACATTTTTTTCACAAGAAGACCTTACCATTCAATTATTTAAAATATTAAATATTTCTTAAAGCCACTTTTCTCATTTGATTTTAGTTTAAAGGAAAATCAATTCCTTGAAAATCCATTAATAAAAGATTGTTGCTTTGAAAAACATTTTCTTAAAACACCTTACATTTATTTATAATTTAATTAAAAATTCTCAGCGCTAAATGAGAATTACACCTGCCATGTGTGTAGCCCAAGGGAACAACACCTTGGTCTTAATTACATTAGCACGTCAAGAGCCCACCATTCATATTGTGCCAAACACAATATCTTCTAATTTTAAAGTTAAATCAAACACATAAACACTCACACATAAAACATTGATTGTAAGGATTCATACCAAAACACACGGACACATACTCTCCCATATAACCTAAATGTTGTCTTTCATTTCATGCCACAAAATGTCCAATAGAATCTCGAAAAGGAAAACCCCCCACCGCACTACATTCCGTACAAAAATGAGAAATATTTTAATTTTACAAATCAACAGCTTCCGGTTGATGGCGCCTTGAAGTGAGAAACCTCAAGCCACACAGAGACACGTACCTTTACTCATGGAGAGACACGCACACACACACTTTCTCTTCAAAAGAAATGTCTACCTATACAGCCTCAGGCTTTCATAACCATTTCTCTTTCTCTCCTTCGCTGTTGTAAACCTCTCCCATTTAAATAAACCGGAAATTGGTTTGAATTCAATGCAAAACAACAACAAAATAACTCAACAGAAATGAAATTTCCCTTTTCCGTTTGTCCCCCTTATTTGAATGCTCTGGAACCGACCGAAAGTAGTAATTTTTTTGTTATTCCTGTCGCATTCTCATCTGTGCTCGTCCTTTGTTTCAACTGACTGATGATGTTTTTTATACCCTACATCACAAGGTGGTTAGGGTATTATGTCTTTGTGCATTTGTTTGTAACAGACAAAAGGAAACAAGATAGACCCATAGTTCCGTTTGATGACCTGCATAGAATCACATTCTGAGTCGATTTATGCATGTCCGTCCATCCGTCCGCCTATCCATGTATTTTTGTGAACAAAGTACAGTTTGCATTTATTACCCGATCCAGATGAAATTTTGCACAAATCATTTGTTTGGTCCAAGGACGAACCCTATTGAAATTGGAGATAATCGGTAAAAATTTAGATATAGCTCCATATATATATCTTCGTCCGATTTGCCGTTTATTGTCCACCAAACGTGTAATATCAGTCCGAATAGTATGGAATTTTGCACATATAACCAAATTAGACCTGAAAATAAGTATGCCAAATTTGATCGAAGTCGGTTCAGATATAGCTATAGCTCCAATATATATTGTTCATCCGATTTGTTATTTTTGTCCTCCGTAGCCGTAATATGCACTCTGTAACAACAATATTTGGGGAAATATATCAAATATAGCTCAGAAATACCTTTGTTAAATTTTATCGAGATCGGCTCAGATTTGGATAGCTCCAATATATAACTTCGTCCGATTTACTTTTTTATTGTGCACCAAAGGTCTAATAGTTGCCCAAATGGGAAATTTGGCACTTACGACCGCATTGAGTCTAGAAGCTGGTATGTCAAATTTGGTGAAGTTCGGTTCAGATATACCTATAGCTCCCATATATATTGTTCATCCGATTTGTTATATTTGTCCTCCGCAGCCGTAATATGCACTCTGTAACAACAATATTTGGAAAAATATATCAAATACAGCTCAGAAATACCTTTGCTAAATTTTATCGAGATCGGTTCAGATTTGGATATAACTGCCATATATAACTTCTTCCGATTTACTTTTTATTGTGCACCAAACGTCTAATATGAAATGGAATGATATTTGCCACCTACGACCGCATTGAGTATAGAAACTAGTATGTCAAATTGTGTGAAGATCGGTTCAGATATAGCTATAGCTCCCATATATATTGTTCATCCGATTTGTTGTATTTATTACCCAAAACCGTAATATGCACTCCGTAACAACGATATTCTGGGAAATATATGAAATACAGTTGAGAAATATCTTTGCCAAATTTTATCAAGATCGATTCAGATTTGGATATAGCTTCCATATATATCAAATGCGCAATACAAGTCCGAATTTAAAAGATACAAATGCTACGGCATATTTAGTCCTTTGAAGTTTAAATTATAATTATAATCATAGCGTGTATGATTGAATTCTCCCATAAAAACTTTTAATTGTTATGTGGAGCTCTACTAAATTAGCAAAGTGGTATAGGGTATCATAAAGTCGGCCTCGCCCGACTTTAAGACT